TTAGTTAAACAATTAGCTATTAGATTTTTATGTACTCTTCAAAGTATGAGGCCATTACACAATTCAATTCTCAAAACTTAATCTACAACAACTACAATTATTAGGTTTTTCATAAAAATATCTTATTACTGCATTATGATTAATTTGGTATTCAACTTCTTATGGACTTATACTTGTAGTGTATCTAGAATAATATGTGCAATGAAGTAATTATTTAAATTCTAACAATTATACATTTTGATCTAATTCAACCAATTGGTCCAATAATTAAAACATTTTATATATGGTCAATAAAATCATTCAAATTCAATATTTACATTAGAATTAAAATTCCATAAGTGGGATGCATACTAAACTAGTCAATTTAAAGTTTGGTAATTAAAATGTATAATCTATATTTGGAATTAAAAATTTTAAAATCTATAAATTTAAGCATTTAATATATGATAGATAAAGTATTTAGATAGAAATGTTTAATTGAGGATGAGAGTTAAATTCAATATTCCAACAAAATCAATATTCCAATTGCAACAGAGCTTGAGTTTGAATACCCTATATTCAAATTTCTTGTGGAAATTAAAGGCAATTTAGATGAGAGACATTTTGATAAAGATATGGGGGGGAGAGAGAGTAGGACTAAAGTACTTGGAGTTTTTAATTTTTTATTTTCTGAAAATTTCTCACCATAATATATCATTTATAACTCTTAAAAAACGTATGTGATCTTGGTTGAGAAAAACCTTACTAAGTCAATGATTAGTCATCCATCTCAATTGATTTTATTTCTAGTTTCAACATTTTTCATTGTCTATATTAACATTGATTATAATAACCGTAGATTTGTATTTTTAATGGCTAATTTGGATCAATACCAAGGTTAATTCTATTTACTTTGGTTTCCACTTTAGAGGTTGAGTTGTGTCTTACATACATGTTTCTAACACGTCATAAGGGTATTGACCTCAAGCTAAATTGAAAGCTTTTACATTCACATGTGATGTGTAACACATATAGGTGTGGAAATAATATATCTCTATATGTGGACTTCGATATCAACATTATTTCAACTCCTACACAGTTGTCTAAGAGATCAACACTAGCTAGTAAAAAAATTTCAGTAGATTTAGACTATACTTTCAGTTAAGTTCATTAAATTTTATTGATAAACCCCAAAGTAAACACATCACAAATAAAAATTAGTATAATAATATTTTTAGCAAAACTTTAAATGTTGGGGACAATCATCACATTTTTATTTTTATTTTTTTATATTTGATAGTAAATGCTTTAACTTATCACGAATAGTTGAGCTGTGTGAACTTGGCTACAATCTAGAGAGATGCACCATATAACATCAAATAAAAACTAGTGAAGTAGAAATACCTGACTAATGTTCCCATTAAATCCATACCATTGTTGTCCGCACTCACCTGCTGGTGGTGGATATCATAAACTAGTTTAGTCTCAAGAGAAGTTTGAATGTTTGAAGGTTTGAGATAAAGTGTTGGTATCTTGCTTCACAAGTTTTATAGATTAGCCCGGTCGACATGGAAATTTAGAATGGAAAATCAGATAGAGAAAGGTGTTCTTTCATGGTCCTATGATCAGAAAATAAAGGTGAAGAACAAAAATTATGCAGTACATTGAAGCTACAAGATTATCACGACTCTCTCTAGGGAGAAAAGCCTACCTTCAAGAGAACTTCGCATGGTGCATAAAAAGATCTAGAGCTGGAACATAGAAGTTGACTGCAAGTCGAGCTCCCTCGCAGCGTGAAGGTTTGTGTATGGACTATTCTCCTCCTGCCAATTGTTTCGATGTTGTTCTTCACACCACGGAAAGGAATGATGCTAGTAGCGAGCATCGATTCCCTTGTTTGAGGAAACCCACGGGTTGGCAAGCTGCCCTCTCTCTCTCTCTCTCTCTCTCTCTCTCTCTCTCTCGCTCGCTCGCTCGCTCTCGCTATCTCTCTCTCTCTCTCGCTCTCACCCTCCCTCCCTCCATCTCTCTCTCTCTCTCTCTCTCTCTCTCTGTAGTAAGCGGATGGCCCAGGTTCTCCAACCCGATTTCCCCATCCGCCAACCCTCGATCTGACGAGGAAAAACCGAGAATACCGTGTATCTATCGTAATCCCCTTCCTCCTCTCCTCCCTATTAGGGAAAAGGGAAGGCTAAGAAGGTCCTCCACCCACCCCGCCGCGTCCACCATTCCTATCCTTCTCATCCGTGGAGGACGCTAAGATTGGTGCGCCCACGTTATGATCATTATATCCAGAGTGATTCTGACGACATAAAACGTAAGTAATTGATTTCTATGATGGTTCAAAATGTAAACCATAGGATACCAATTGATTAGTTGAAAGAATCGGGCAAGCTTTGAAAATGCAAGCTTTAGCCTCAAAGAATAAGATGAACGGAGGAGTCTCTCGGTAGAGACAGCACGAGCGTGCTGCGCCTTTCCAACCCTCTGAACGAAGCTACGCTAGACGGAGGTGTCCCCTCCATCATCTTCTTCGAGGGTCGCCGTGGACATACTCGACAGCCGGCTGGGCGTCGGCTGGAAATTCCACCACCGCCGCTGAAGCGGCGACCCACCTCCTCGCCGATGAACCGGCGGCGATAACGCCCTCCGCAGGACCTCCCGGCTGCCGGAACTATTCCTCGCTGCGTCCCTGCAGCGCCGCCTAACCGCTGCATTCCTCGCATGCGCTCTTGTGTGGACTCTACGGCCTCCCTGAGGATCAGTCGCCGCCGCCCACGGCGGCGCTGCGCGCCGGGGAGAAGCGCAGTCCAGCAGCGGGCAGCGCGACGACCGAGAGCCCGCCGCTGGGCTGTGAATCGGAGCGGAGACGGCGTATGAGACCTGGAACATGGCGGGTCGATCCCCTCAATCGCTCGCCGGTTTCCGTGTTTTGTCCCGTTTTGCGCACCCGCCCCTTTTATATGGCCACCCGAGACGACGGATCCCTCCTTCTCGGATGATTCCGGCGACACATTCGGCCTCTTCAGGACCGGGCTGCGGCTTTTGGCTTTGGACTGGGTCTGACCGCAAAAAAATCAGCATCGGGCAGTCGCCATTATTCTAGGATGACGACGACAGGATCTGGCGAGATGCGGATTTGGGCCACTGGGACTGACTACCTTGTCCTCGTTGAGGATGGTAGAACCGTTTCATCTTCTCTGCGACCCTACCTTCGAAGAGGCACGTTTAACCGCCAGGAGAAATGGGTTATCCGGAATCCTCCCCAAAATCACATCTTTGCGACGCGTCTGGTTTGACTGGGCGACGGCGTTGTGTGGAGGAGCAGGTGGTCAACCATGGAACGAGACAGGAAGGGAGGAAGGGCCGTCCAGGAACCGCGTTCCTGGCCACCCAAAAGAGACGATATTTCCAACTTGGACTGAGAATGAAAACGATCTCAGAAGTTGAGAGGGAGATCACTGCTTTGGTCTGACCATGGAAGTCGTAGGGAGGATGCAATGGTCAAGATGACCACAGAAGCCTTTGAAAAGCAGCGTCTCTTCCTCCGCGGGGAGCAATGCAAGCGGGTCTGTTGGAAACTTTCTTCCCAGCCTGGTGTCACCAAGAGAGATATCATAAGGGACGAGGGCATCTTCGCGTTCCGGCCTCGCTTCGCATCTCTTCATCTTCTTACTCGCTTTTTCTTCCTCTGTCCGCCGTCTATTCATCTTCTTTCTTCCTCGGTGTGATTCCTCACAATCAGTTGCCGCTGTGACGAATCACACCGATAACCTTCTCGGTGCTGCGGAGAGCTGTTTAGAGCAGAAGGAGGCTTCGTCTTCCACCCGCCTCCCTTTCTCCCCGTCGCTGTGAGGAAGTCTCCCCGGTAAGAAGTGGGCAATGGAGAGAAGGAAACCCGATGAAGATGCTGCCATTCCATTCTCCCGTTACCTTTCTCGTTCTCGCTTCTGTGGATACTTGGCTCATAATTCTGTGGAAATTTGCCCACGCCGGTTACTTCAGATTGGTTGAACAGGGAAAGAGGGAAGAAGATACTCCTTCCCTCTGCAGCGCATAGATTCATGCTTCCGCAGGATACGCTCCTGGCTTCATCTGATTCATGAACTTGGGATCTCTGGGTTGTGACGTCCCACTCTGGAAGTCCTTCTCTCCTCCCTAGGAATCCAGCTTCTTCCCCATACTTGTTCTCTTCTAAACGAATGCTTGGATTTTGAGCTTTTCACTTTAGCAGCGGTAGATTTTATCATTAAGCAACAATTCGGGAAATATAATGGCCACAATCTACTCATCCTCCATAAACTTGGCATCACATCTTCCACATTCGTCTTGGTGAGACCAAGGTACCCCTGGTCTGACATGCAGTATAAGCACCCAGATAAATCCCCATATACAGCATCACTTGCATCACCAGTGCAAACAGAGTGATAGAAATTTCACTATCTAAGCCCTATTCTCCACCGTGGAAGTTCCTTGTGGCCTAAATATCCATATAATATGTAATCCCATGGCTTCTCCTGTCCAAGTTCCTCTGGCAAAGTCGTCCATGTCCACAGAAACATTCAAAAAATTTCTCCTAGATGAGCCTTTTCTTAAGCAAAGGCACTTTTGGCTCAATGGGGCTAATATTTTCACTTGTTAGGCTGTTCACTTATCAAATTTCACCTGACTCTTTAGGAACACAATTGGAGTGATTTCATTGAATGTTACTTGTCGGGTTGAATACCATCTTCTTTTCTAAGGAAAACAAAGGGTCGAGTGTTGAATTCAACGGAGGTGAATCTGAAACTTATCTGAATAGAGTTTGTTTATATCAGCTCGAAAAGTCAATTTGGGTTCGGCCAGAAACCACGGGTTTGAAGTCACTGGGATTATTTTTCTGTGATTATCATTTTATGGGTACCATTCAGTCGTGAACAAGATCCACCCATGAGAAGCTTTAGAGTTTCAATTCAACATCTTGCTCTTAATGTCCTGACTTGTATCCTGACATCGAATTTGTATTCGTTCTTCAGGGCACGATGCCAGTCGTTCAGCTGGGAGCTTGCACTGTTCGATCTCATGGAATCAGAGTGGCGAGGTTCCACATGCATGATTGGCTCATCCTCGTACTGTTACTGGGGCTGGTTGTTGGCGTGCTCCAAATAGAACCGTTCCATCGCTTTGTTGGCCAAGACATGATGACAGACCTGAAATACCCTCTCAAAGATGACACAGTGCCCGTTTGGGCAGTTGGAGTCTGTCACTAAACTAAAGTGTCAAAATTAGTATATTCTATGAACAATTTGCTGCTGGTGCTAGTTAAAACTGTTATGTCAACGAAGATATTTATGTTCCTCTTTGGTTCTGACAGCATCTTTGTTATCTAATTACAGGTTGTGGCAATTTTATTGCCTGTCATAATCTACATTGTAATCTACTGTTGGAGAAAGGACGTATATGATTTGCATCATGCTATTATTGGTAAGTCTCCTTTACCGCTAATTTTCGAGTAGAACTTCTGCTCATGACTAAGTCAACTGCCTGCATGCAGGGATTCTATACTCTGTGCTTATAACTGGACTAATAACAGAAGTGATCAAGACTGCTGTTGGTAGACCTCGACCCGACTTCTTCTGGCGATGTTTTCCAGATGGGAAGGCAGTGAGTCAGAATATTTTTTCTCATCTTTCTCTCACTAGATTTTTTTGTCATTGTTAGCTTTCTACGTGGCTCAGCAAAGCTGGCTCTTATTACATCTGTGGTGTATGTTGTCCAGGCTTTTGATTCCACTGGAGACGTAATTTGCAATGGGGTGAAGAAAGTTATTAAGGAAGGGTACAAAAGTTTTCCCAGCGGTCACGCATCTTGTAAGAACCTGAAAAACTTATAATTTTGACTTCTTCGATTGTTCTTCCTACTGAAATGTTTTTGTCTCGATGCTTCTGGAAGTATCTTATTTCTTCATCCTCATCTTTATTATCTCTTCTAATATATTATATTTCACTCTTTATCTTTATTCTTTGATAATACTTCATTTCTTGGAGAAAATCTTCCAAGACTCTCTCCTTTATGGATCGGATCCATTGCGACTCAGTTCATTCATTTGCCATATTTTGTTATTCCATAGACATACATTTCTTGAGAAAATTATCATAACTACATCTGAACAGGGCCAAAGACTGACATCTTCCATGTTGATTAACGTAGGGCCCTGTCAACGATCACTAAGTAATCGTTTCATAAATTTCTTTCCTCTGTCTAGCCCAACATATGTTCCTGTCCTAGTTACTTTACATCAGTTTCACATAGATCTATCTATCTATCTTGCGCATGTTCTAAGTGTTTGTGAATTATTTATGCACTGTACCAAACAAACATAATCTTGAATTAGTGTCTTCTTCACCTTACACTCAATACCCATGTATATAACGTCTTTGCCTCCTACTTGCTGGCAATTTATTCCATATATACTTATCTACACTACTGGGAATTTAACCTTCGAAGGAAAATGTATCCTTTATTTTTTGTGTTACTCATAGTGGACAGTCTCAACCAGTTTCTCATTTCTCCATTTTGTATAATAACCTTGTAAGAATAAGCATTCGCCTTGGAAACATCAGTTTATATTTCTTCAGTCCTGCTTGCTACTCTTATTTATCAACAACAATAATATCGCAATTTTTTTTATAGATTTTGAGTCATTCCACTGTTCATATGCCTTTTGATTTTTGTGTTGTAAATTAGAATGCATGGGGAATCAACATTAGATAAAAACGTAAAATACTTTTTTTCTGAAATATTAATTTCTCTATCTTGAAATATTAGAGGAATACTAACTTTTCCCACCTGTGTATGCATTGTTTCTGGCCGTTAATACATGCCCATTGTTCATACTTTGCCTCAGTTTACGGTGCAACAGCATTCCCATCTCCCTTTTGGTCTGTGGTCCTTTGTTTTTCCTTTGATCAGTTCACTAGATGAAACTTGGAAGGTGTCTTAGGTCCTACACACCTAGAGTTGAGACTGTGGTCGACAAAAACATGGTTTTAATGACTTGTAACATTTTCAAGTTGAAAGTGAATGTCTTTGAAGTGGGATGCCAAATGCAATGAACATTCACACGGTTGAGATCATAGAAGTTTCCAAGAACAGAAGAAAAGAGTAATATCTGGGTTCTAGGGTTAGGAACCTTGGGTAATTCGTTATTTATCTTTTTCATCTACATACTGACATCATTCTTTCTAATTTTAAAAATTTCCCTCTTGTTTCTGTGATGACATTACAATTGTTCCCCTTATGTTCATTATACAACGACTAGTACGGATCCCAGTTACTAAGAAGAGTAAAATCAAATCCTCTCAATAATTAATCAGTTTCAGCTAGTAATATCTATAGTTTCAGATGATTTATTCCATCTTATTTTTTTAAGTTTAATATGTTTATTTTGTATTTATTCTACGAACCTACTGCTGTTTGTCCACTGTTGTCTGTAAAGTAGTTTAATAATTTTGAAAGATTGGGGTTCGTTTACAACATGTGTAATATGATGAGATAAAGACGAAGGATTGAGGCATTTGATCATTGGGGTACATTGTTTTTATTTCACAAATAATACCACAAAAAAAGGGCTACAACTATATTGGGATATGGAACATCATGATTCTCCTGGTGATGTGTGAATTGGCACAAAATAAATCAGTAAGCATTTTAGCTCTAGAAATTCATATTAGTTGTTGTGTAATGAACATAAGGAGAACAATTCTGATTTCATCACAACAACAAGAGAGAGATTGGAAAATTAGAAAGAATGTTGTCAGTATGCAGATGAAAAAGATAAATAACGAATATTTTCGTTACCAGAAGTCATAAAAGAGGGAAAATCACTGTTGATTTATCAGGATTTATATATTGATCTCCATTTTTCAGACTACCTGTTGTAGTATGAACACTCGCTTTTTTATTTAGTTTTATCTATATCCTCTTATCATCGTTACACAATCAGCTGATTTAGTTATTCTCCTTTGGCATATTTTTCGTGGAGGACAATCATTCTGATACTTACATTGCAGTATTTATGGTGGAATACGACAATTTACGTGCATGTTGACCTGCGTTTTCCGATGGTGCAGGGTCCTTTACAGGCCTGGGTTTCCTTGCCTTGTATCTGTCTGGTAAAATCAGAGCTTTTGATCGCAAAGGACATATTGCGAAGCTCTGCATTGTTTTCTTCCCATTACTTGTTGCAGCTCTTGTAGCAATCTCGAGGGTGGATGACTACCGGCACCACTGGCAGGATGTCTTTGCTGGTGGTCTCCTAGGTTCGTACTGTTCGAGGTTACCATGGATAAAGAATTCTCTGAGAATTCTATCTCACACTGTTTTTGCCGATGCTTCCCCAGGCCTGGTGGTCGCTTCCTTCTGCTATCTGCAATTCTTTCCTCCCCCATATCACCCAGACGGTGCGCTCTTCGTCCTCCTCATCATATTTTTTTCATGAAGTCTGACATTTCTTCTCAGTTCGTTGCTATCAGGCTTTTTGTGAATGATTTTATGCAGCAATGTCTGAAATAATAAATGCCCAGTTTCAAAAAATCTGACACTATCGTTTGAAGAACTGCTTCGCGTTTTGGTCTTTGCACACATGACCTACCTTTCTTGGACTCCATCTCCTGTTATTTCTCCCCTATCAGGCTATTCGGAGTCCCACCTGAGCACTTTGTGGCTTTTCTCATTAGTTTGACCCACCAAGCAACCATAAGTAGAAACCCAGAAAAATGGTAGAGCAGAGTCTTTGAGCTTCCATCTTGAGCTTCCATGTGGCCTGAAATGATTCTATGTTTTCAAATAGAGTATTTTTAGCTATGAGATAAACAGTTTCGAGTCACCAAAAATGTCAAAGTTAGTCATAAAACATGCGGGGAGAAGAAGAGAAAATGTGTCTGAGGGAGGGTTTTCAGACAGTTTGGTCAAATGCTCTGCAGGAATATTCTCTTCTCTCACTTGATGTCTTGTAATCATTTTTAATCATCACTATTTCTCTCTCGTGATGTTTGGGATCTGATCCAGGTTTTTCTCCTCATATGAGAACAGGTTGGTGCACTCACGCTTATTTGAGTAACATGGTGGATGCACAGAGCAATCCCCCACATTCTCTGTCTGTTGTGACCCCTGGCAATGGGCAAATTGAGACCAATTCCTTGAATATCTCAACAGGCCATGAAACCCCAGTCAACAGGGGTCCTCCAACCTCCACCCTTGATGATGTGGAGCTTGGGAAGAGATAGATAGTGACCCATCGCCTCAGAGGTAGCTTTCCAGATTGTCATATCTTCTCCTTAGTAGTCTGAACAGAAGAACATATTTGTTAACCCACCGAAGCCTTTGGCTGGCTTGCGAAGGTTCATTTGATGTACACATGGAACTTAGAAAATACAATTGATATTTTTCGAATTTATTGACATGATCTTTGTGGGAGTTCTTGAGAAATCCCTGTGCAAGTGCTGTGTATCTGTTCTGGAAACTCCATTCGGCTCATACTTGGGGTCTGACTAAAATCAGATGAAATCTTCAGAAAACCGTAGAAAACAAAAGAATTTTACTATGGTTATATCATACGAGTCATACTAAAAAGTCAAGATAAACACTGATAAGTATATATTGTAGAATTTGCTGAAAATGCATTTATCCTTGATCAGTATTTTGATGTCAACTTTTTGTGCTGTATAATTCACCTGTTTCCATTCAACACAGGCATTAAGTATGATTCGTGTAGGTCTGTTCACAATCAAACTCACAGGGAGTTGGTTTGCCGTTTATACTATGAGTTACATATTTTTCATCGCCAGATTTTTTCTTTTTTTTAGTCTTTGTCCAGGAGATTATAGAACTATAAAAGTTTAAAGAATCTTCAAAACAGAAGTACCAATACTTATTCAATTTCTAAAATGTTCCTCTATAAAGTTTGAAGATCGCACATGATGTCTTCTATTTTTTCTTGGCCTTTGACTTAATCGTTTTAGCCTCCAATCTTGTTCTAAACAATTAGCACATATAAGTATCTGATTTCTTCTTAAGCAATAATGATATATGATGATGAGTGTAAATAATTTGTAGATGTAAAATATATCTCATAAAAATGGAGAATTATATATATATATTTATTTATTTATAATCATGAAGCCGCTTCATATTACCTTCAGGTTGTATTGATGTAACTAGTTAAGGAAGAACTCTTTGAGCAGAATCATGTACGAAACTAAAATTGATTAGTTTTCATGATATATTTCAGGTTGTGACGAACTGACTCGTTTCTATAAAGGAGAGTAGGTTCAAGTCTCCCCTAATAGACATGTAGCTATTTTTAATCTATACGTCTGAAAACATGAATTTGTTTTCTTGTTTTCAAACCTTAGGAGACGAGCTGATAGACGCCACCTCTGGCCATTTTTCATCAATGGTAGCATGCCATTACATGGTTATAAACATATATTATGAAAGTAATACGGCGGAAAAAGTTAAAATTCATGAATAAAGTGGATTGCCTTCATTAGCGTTGCAAAATTCCCGATAATATTCTTCTTGTAGTTTATTTGGCATCCAGACTATACATCGTACAGATCATGGAAATCTTGAATCTCGTATGGGTAAAACCTTATGCCTGAAGAGAAAATTATTCATCGTTTGAAAAACAAAATCTACGGAGCTTTGCATTTATCTCTACAAGGCATAAAACAAAACACAAAAAAAAGGGGCCAGATGAAGGAAGAAGTAAAAGCTAGAGTGGTGGTAAGAAGAGTCAAACTCTGGCCCAGTTGATTGCCTGCTTCCCCTCCTCGAAGGCGTTGAGGTGGGCGTCGAGGTAGTCCTTGACGATCAAATCTCTGTAGAGCCTTTGCTTTCCCTCCTCCTTCAGAAGGCCTTCTGCTGGTCCGATAAGCTTCTCGGGCTTCATGGCAAAGAACAAGGACGCGGAGATCCTGTCCTTGTTTGAGTTGATGACCACTCTGTGCACCGGGCTCTTGAACGACCCATTGCTCATTATCTGATGCAGGGGAACATAATTAGAGATGAGAGAGAGAGAGAGAGAGAGAGAGAGAGAGAGAGAGAGAGAGAGAGAGAGAGAGAGAGAGAGAGAGAGAGAGAGGTCCATCTCTTTCTCTCTCTATTTTAGCGTGAAGAAAATGGCGGGAAGATACTTTGTAACTTTGGGGAGGGGTGCAACCCACCTCCATGAGATCTCCGACAACAACAAGGAGTACATCAGGATTGGAGGGGACGCTGACCCAGCCACCATCTTCAGAGAGAAGCTCGAGGCCCTCGACGTCCCCGTCCTGTAAGATCATGGTGATCGCACTGTTGTCGGAATGGGGTTTGAGCCCGAGAACAAGATCAGGCCTCTGGCAAGGTGGGTAATAAGAGAATCTGCAGTATATTTCTCGCTCCTCGCCAAGCTGGGCGATGAAGTGGGTTTCATCCAGGCCAATAGACCTTGCCATGGCTTCGATGATCAGCTGCGCTACCGTGTTTACTTTCGCCACGTATTCATGTAGCGTCTGGCTGCATCCATGAGAAGAGAGAAGAAAATAATTAATTCGCCAATTATGCAGTACAATGATCATCAGTGGAAATAATATGTGATCTGTTTGATGTATACGACTGTTGAAATCAATACATAGTCCTTGATTTAAGGTTTCTAAATCGTTCGGTGATTCAAGAGTTTATTTTTGTGTATCAAACCCATCTTTTGCTTCCATAAATCTTTTTGATTTCGAAAAGAAAAGGCTTTTAGACGACATAAACGTAGATGAAGACACAGACACCAGAAGAAAATCAGGGGAACATAAGTGGAAACAATGTGATCTGTTACATATCTACGACCGTCGAAATCAGTAAATAATCCTTGATTTAAGATTTCTAAGTGATTCAAAGTGATCCAAAGTTTTTTTCGGTGCATTTTTGTGCCTCAAACCTATTTTTTGCTTCCATAAATCTTTTTTATTTCGGGGAAAAAAAGGTTTTTAGACGACATAATGGTGGGTGAAGACACAGACAGCAGAAGGAAATCAGGAGAATATCAGTAGAAACAATCTGATCTCTTTCATATCTACGACCGCCGAAATCTGTAAATAATCCTTGAATTAAGATCTAAGTGATTCAAAGTTTTTTTCAGTGCATTTTTTTTCTTCCTTGGGTGTTTATGAAGGTTTTTAGATGGCATAAATTGTAGATGCAGATACAGTCAACAGAAGAAAATCACCTCAACTGGATCCCGTAGAACGAAAAGAGAAAACTTTTTCTTGTTTAGAGATGGAGAAGTGGAGAAGAACTCAAGATCCCACATTCATACGAAACAAAGGAAATCATTCGGCAATCCCCCAATTCTAGATACAATCATCCGAGTAAGTTACAGAAATACTAATTTTTAATGTTTTTCAAGAGGCTCAAACAATCTGTACTTCGCGCAGAGAGCGGAACTCTTTCTACGCTCTCTACCAGGGACGAACGGAATCGATGAAGATTACCTGAAGGAGGTGGGGTTGCGAGGCCAAAGCTCGAGGCTCCTCTGATCCTCGGGGTAGACCTTGAGGAGGATCCGGTCGGACCAGTCTAGGGTTTGCGCCTTCACCTGGTCGCGGCCGTAACCTTCGCCGAAACCCTTACTCTTGGAAGAACACCGCAGCTTTTCCTCCGGCGGCAGCTCGAAGAATCGCCTTCCGACGCTGCGCACGTCCTCGAGCAGGGAAAAGGAAATCCCATGGCCGGCGGCCTGGAAAAAGAGGATCTCCATAAGATCTCAACACAGTGCAGGGACGAGCTCACGGAAGAAGGAAGGAATGGACGAGGTTTTTTTAGGGCTTCCGCGACCTGAAACGCGCCCCAGGTCGCGATGGCGGACCGAAGCTTCGCCGTCTCGTCGTCGTAATGAGGAAGACGGAGGAGATCGACGATGGGGATGTCAGCTGGCCGACGGCGGGAGGCGTCGCCGGAGGGATAAACGGCTTCCTGAAGGACGAACTCGAGCGGCGGTTCTGCACCACTTTCTGACAGCGCCTTCACCCCTCCGTTCGCCATGGCTGCTCAGTAGAAGAAGGGCTGCCATGAAGCCGTTTATAGATGTCAAAGCGGTGCAGAACCGCCGCTCGAGTTCGCACAGCTTTGACATCTGTAAATTCGGATGTGATGAAGAACCTCTTCTTACTATGCAGACCTGAGGATGAAGCTCTTTAACACGTGCCCCTCCTTTATCTAACTTTTATCCATCGGGTGACACCTGTTGGAGAGTCGCAAAGTCGTCGTTTTTTCACTTTGTCAGGTGACAGCCGGTATAAATAATTTGACGACCTATTTCATTGATCTCTAGACTTCACAAGGAGATCTAGAAATTGTTCACGTCATCCTTGTCTAAGGAGAGCCTTCAAAGGTGTGAACATTACATGATGATCTTTTCAAATGCTCAGAATTCTGGTACATTACCGACGCATCACCATCGTGATGTCAAAACTTTATTTTTATTTCATTTAATGATAATTTATGTGATTTACATTTATCAAATTATACTTTATTCAATTACAATTTTTTTTAACTTTTATAGATCTTAATTTAATTAATTAAATCATCTATAATCACTTACATAAGAATTATTGGGCGGAACTCTATTTTCGCTCAGTTCGCATTCGTCGGGCATTGACATCATCCTAACACCCTCACCCTTATTTCACTTTTTTATAAATTTTAAATATATTTTATTTTCATTTTTTAATATAAAATTAATAAAAAATTATATTCTTTGAGAAAAATTCTAAAAAATTACCCAATATTATATTACATCTCTATGATCAACTTGGAAAATTACCATTATTTTTGAAAATTTTATTGAATTATAATTGATATATATTTTTAGAAATATTTCTAAATATCTGAAAATTAGTATTTTCTAGTTTTATAAATTTTAAATTTACGTGATTTACTATATAACGACTAAGTCAGGTGAAGTACACCTATTTGTAAGTCACGACATTAATGTCAGTCGAACAAGGAACGAGCTATTAAGTGGTGCGCTAAACTAAGACATAGTACTGAATGTCTATCTCCAACTTCAACTCAAGTATTTAGAGAGCCTCATGATACATTTTGAGTATTGACTTAGATGAGAAGGAAAGAGCAAAGGCTTAGAAGGTAAGGTGAAACAAAATGAGAGATGGGATGTTGAGTGTAGAAACGAGTGCCTTTGTGTAAGGCAATGTGAAGATGAAGATCATTAGGTGGGGCCGCATGAGAGGTAGGAGACACTAACAAGAGTGGTATCAAATTGGAGAAGGAGGGCGGGGACTCGACAAGTGGGTTAGATGACAAGGATAGAGAGGGCAATGAAGACGCATGAGAGTCATAGACCATCAGAATAGGTGGGGATGTTAATGAAAGAGGAAAACTAGGAGGTGGTGAGGATGTTAGAAAAGGAATAATACAAGAAGAAAAGTAAAGACATCCTCATGGAAAGTGACATCTGCAGACGTAAGATACCGACAAGTGTCAAGAAGATAGACTCAATATTTCTTATATATGTAAGAGTTGCCAATGAAGACACTTTTTAAGACACGAGGTGCCAGCTTAGAGAGAGAGGGAGTATGGTCATGCACAAATGTAGTGTAACCAAATACCTAGAGAGGGAGATGAAAGAAGTTGATTTGAGGAGAAAGCCGATATAATAGAATCATGCCAATAAGAGCAGATGATGGTAGGCGATTGATGAGGAAGATGACAGTGAGGAAGGCATTGGACCAGATATAGTGTGGGACATGCATGACTACAAAGAGTGTGTGAGTAATGTCAAGAAGATGTTGATACTTCTATTCAGTGATACTATTTTGTTGAGAAATGTAAGGGCAAGTAATCTGATGACTGATGTCACAATCCTTGTAGAAGTTTTAAAAGGCATTTTAGATAAACTCTAGGACATTGCCTATGCGAAGAATCTTGGGGGTAGTAGAGTACTATGTGATGATCTCTATGATGTATTGACAGATTATGTTGTGAATTTGAGAGTGGTCTTTGAGAACATATATATACTTATATAACTTGAGTATAATCATCAACAAAAATAATGTAATATTACAATCTTATCGAAGAAGCAACTCGAGATGACCCCCACATGTCATAATGAATAAGGCCGAATGGTCAGGAAGTGGGGATAAAATCTTGAGGTAGATATGTACAATGATGATGCTTTTCTAGTTGGGATGACTTTCATGCAAATTTGGAAAGAGTAAACCATGAAAAGGATTTTTGAAGTTTCGATAAACATGGATGCCCCAAATGACGATGCCACAAAATAGATGAATTTTGCATGGAAGAAACAAACAAAGCTAAAAGACCCGAAGAAGGAGAGTTAAGAATGAATGAGCTCATAGATGCTATTGTCGTTCTCACGGTCCAAACTAATCCTCTGTCTAGTATGTAGGTCCTAGAAGACACAATAGTAAGGGAAGAAGATGGCAACACAATGTAGTGCACGAGTGATGGCACTAATCAATGGAAGATTCTTAAAAAAATCGAGAACATAAAGCATGTCCTAGAGTGAGAGATTGGTAGTGGGAGTGGTCGTGTCATACCTTTTGACAAGACAAGAACAACCATCAGCGATGGAGACAAATGAAAGAGAATAAGTGGATGTAAGAAAATGAAGAAGGGAACGGGACCCCATCATATGGGTAGAGGGACCTCTAAGTCGATAAACTAGGAAGTATGAGAGGTGAGTAGAGTGTGTGTACCTAAAGTGGGTGCACCATACATAGAAGTGAAGGCAAGGTTGGTAGAGGAGCCATGAGGGTGAGTGCGAGAGACCTTACATTCTGCATACTCTTTAGGAGTTACAGTTATTTAGACTATGGGAGCAGACAATGTAGGTGGAGGAGTCATAGAAGGCAAGTTACTAACAAGCATGGCTTGACCCTATGCTAGCTTGCCAAACTTCTAACATTCTCGGCTAGTTGATTTTACCTACCACAATATGAGCACAGAAGGAAGGAATTTTTCTACATAGTCGATCCCTTCCCTTTCTTGGCAGGCTTGGAGCCACAAATGACCTCCATAACACATGTGGCAGCAAGTGTAGAGGGGTCAAGAGTTGTGGGAGTAGTAGGAGCAAGAGGTATCTTAGTGTACACATGAAGAATCGTTGATAAGATATCTATCATCAAAGGAACCTGAGTGCCAAAGAGAACATGACCATATATTTGATTGGTGAGCTCCAGATGGAGACCACTAAGAAAGGCCCCTGCATAGAGTTCATCATGATAGCGAGTGCAGGTGGATAGATCTGTGGTCGGTGGTGGATAGACAAATAGCTTCGTGACGATATCTTGTAATTTGCTGAAATACTCTAAGAGTGATCGATTGCCTTACTTACAAGTGAATAGTGATTCATAGAGACGGATGATGTAGCTGGTGTTAGTTTTGTTCGAATACATCATCTTGAGAATTTGTCATAGTAAGTAAACTAACTTTAGGCGACTGAGAGGTCAAATAATTGAAGGCTTAATGTTCTAACAAAACTAGGTATTGACAACGGATTCAAGATGCCCCCAATGAAGATAGTCTGAAGATGTGATATCAGGTGGAGGTGACTACAAGTGATGTAGAAGTCAATGAGCATGAAGAAAATCTTCAAATATAGATGCCCATTAGCCATAATTGATGTCATCAAAGATGTAGGTCGGACAAATCAATACAGCCGTAATAGAATGTTGGGGAGGGAACAAGACATCATATGTCACTCTTAGAGGCCAAGAGATGATAGAATGGAGCCAAGAGGCAAGGTGGAGATGACCCCGATGTATCTACTATCAAAGGAAGAAATTGGACTCACCAAGATGATGAGAGGCTCAGATGGATAGTGTGTAAGGAGATAGAAGATGCACATATAGGCGAACACATAGGAGGCCCAGAGATCATGGGCCGGCATGAGAGAGGGCTGGTATAGACGTGCCAACATGGAGGGCAAGAGAGGGCCGGCGTGTGGCGTGGGGCAGGGTGGGCTGCACATGAGAGAGAGGGGGCGCAGATGTTGTGTGGGCAACAGCATGGAGAGACCGGTGGCTAAGGTCACCAGCAAGGGGCTTGATGCCTTGAGATCAATGCCTAGAGGGGACACCTTGATGGCAATAGAGCTCCTTGATGAGGCCACCATGAATAGAGGCAGCATTGAAGATGTCATTGGAGGATTGGAAGTGAGAAATGGTGGCGAGAAATGGTGGTGAGAAATGGTGGCACAAGCAGTAGAGTGGGGCAGATTGAACCCCTATGGCTCTAATTCATGTGGAGAGAAGAGCCTTGTAAACCTTTGAAATTGGGATATCCAAAGAGGAAGATGAGTACAAGAGTTTATAGTGGCCCTAATGGGCCAGGTCCAAAGTGGGCTGATGCCATAATCTAGCACCTTGGAACTATCTCAGCCCCTCAATCAACCCAATCCAAGGGTTGAGATAAGTCATATGGTGAGGGAAAGAGAGAAGACATCCTAGGAGCTGCCCACCTCCTTTAGGTTGTCCTTGGAGAGAGAAATCTAATCCAAGGGTTGAGAATGGGCAAAATCAAGGGGAGAATAAAGAGACACCTAGAAGAGAGAGAAGGCCATTCCACTCATAGGATAGGGGCACCTAAGAGAGAGAAGAGGAAATCTCCACGAACTTCAACCCTTGAGCCAATCTAGAAACTCTAAGGAGGGATCTGTTTGAGCTCTCAAAATGGCATACATAAGGCATCTTTCATGAATTTTGTTCTTTCATTATGTATTACATTTTATTTTGAATGAATGAGTTTATTTTCTTATTACCTTTTCTTCTTCTTGAGACCCTCTTGGTGATGAAGAGTTGATCTGGCTGAAGAGTAAGTAGGGATTCAATTCTTTGATTCATAAAGTGATTAGGTTAATCCTAGAATAGAATCCAAACCTTCTACACTTCTCTTGCTTCTCTTGATGTATGTGGATCTCTTGATTTTCCTTCTCTTGGTAACTGAAAAATTATGAAAAGAAGATTTATCTATTCCCTCTTTTGTGTCTCTAAGTAAACTCT